ATATAATATACAAGTTTCACTTTTTAAATGGAATTACTGAAATCAATCTACTTTTTCATGATATTCTAATTTTATGACCAGCACCTGTAAGTACATGCCATTTACCATTTACCACTCTCATTGACAGCGGCACACTGCAACACATAATGTAGAAATACAAACATGGGCAGGCAGAGAAATCCCACTGATGACTGTTTTCCAAAGTAGCAGTTTGATCTTTCTTCACGGTCTCCACCAGACACCCAAGAAATCCTGGTAAATAGGAAGGATCTGTGGTTGAGGCCAGCTGCCCTGAGCTGAACTGGTTTGAGCCTCGTGACTGCTCCCGCTTACCACAAACAGTGGAATGTCATGGGGTCCATCAATAAATGTCTTTTTAAGTTGCTTCGAGGTCTTGCAAGAAACTGACACAAAAACTAATGTCAAATCATAATACACACTGGGCAGATTATGTAGACTTGTTTTTATAAATATAAGTGCATTTAGTATAATGTATTGGCCTTTAAAATGGAGACCAACATTTAATTTATTCTCAGTCCCTCAGTGAACTACCACTGCCCAGGGTAGAGCTTCTGACATCAGTTCTACCAAATTATATCACAACCCCATCACAGCTAAAACAAAAATATACAGAAACCCATGTTTTTTTTAACATGTGGAGGGCAACAAATAGACAGTTCTAGACAAAGAAGTAGTATTTCTACAAATGTGAATAAAAGTAATTCCCCGGAAATGTAGGCAGCATTATTTGAAATTCATTTACACACTTTAATAGCAACAACAAAAAGACTTAAAAGCTAATTGTAGGGTATGTAGTCCTTTAAAATATATATTTGCTGTTAATTTTATTTAGTTTTTAATAATTCTCAAGATTCATAAAGAAGATAATCAAAATATAATTAAAGTAAGCTATCAGGGTAGTTGTCCTCTGCAAAACAAAATTTTCCCATCATTTTTTAAAAGTGTTACTTTTATTTAATCTTAAACTTTATATTTGAATATTCTTAAAATCCAGACTTTAATTGTATTAACTGCAAAAATACATTTTGGATAAGTCAGTTACTTTAGATAAAGTTAGATCAGTTTAGCACCCAACACTCCCCCCTGGGGGAAACCACATGAAGGTATTTAAACATGTTGATGCATGGTTGCTCATCTTCACAAACTGTGTCAATTAATTATTAACTTTTAACCCGATTTAAAAACAAATTCACTAGTACTACCTCTCTCTGGTTTATTTATTAAAATAATATGATCAATAGTGTCAAAAGCTTTTGTTAGATTAATATATATACTACATATTTTTTAGGGTCGATTATGAGCATCATGTGTAGTAGTCTGTTAAACAACCAAGATTAACCTTGAAATGAACATGTTATATATTCCTGGCACATCAACGATTTGCATTCAAGTTGTATTTTTAGGAATGTTGTAATGACTTTTTGCTGAGCGAGAATTGTGTAAACCTCTTAAGGTCATGTCATGAAAAAATGTGTAACAACTGTGTATTCTCTGTTTGCAACAGGTTTTGCAAGGATGTCTGGATTGGCCTTACTTTGCTTCCTGCTTTTAAATACTGGAGTTCATGGTTTTAAGATATCACCACGCTTCCTTAATAACTTACTTAACAGAGGTTCTCTCACTCATCAAGACATCACAGAGAGAGCAATCCTTAACATCACTGCACAGGTTTGCCGTAGCCTGGCTCTGTCTGAGGGCAAAGACTTCTCTTTTCCTGTAAGAAATCCAGTTTCCTTATTTTTTTTTCCTATTCCTCTCTAAAATGTACAGTCTAACAGTAAAATATGATATCTTTATGTATGTGTGCATTTGAAGTCCCTTACTGCTACAGCTGTTGCCACTGCATGTGAAGCATCAAAATCCTCCAAAAATTTCATCCGGACCATCAACAAGATCAAGAGTAATAACTGGCAAATAGATATTTTCAAGGCCTTGAGTGCACCTCATCACTGTGACAATGAGAAGATAACAGAAGGACAGAAGCTCATCACAGATGGATTATCAGTGGTAAAGGGTGCCAACAAGCAGAAAAACTTTGCTTCAGCAATCTCGCGTCTAGGAAACATTTTCCACACCTTACAGGTATTTCTGTTTAACCTATATCTTGCTAAAGATTAACTGTGGCTGATTATATTTCAAACTCTACCCAGCTTTGCGACAAAACTCAAAGATTTATGGAGATTAATATTCTCATGTTCAAAATAAAACACTCTTCAACCCGACAAATTTTCTTTACTTGCCTGTATCCAGTACCCTTCGGGGTTGCAGGGATGAATTTGACCCAACTCAGCAGTCACTGAACAAGAGGCAGGGGCTGGGCACTCCCTGATTAGGTTAGCAGTCTGTAGAAATGCATCCATCAAAAGAATTTGCATTGACTGCCATGCGCAATTTAAGTACCAAACAACTGATACTATTAATTTCACCTGATCATAGTTTTGTTGAATTTTTCTGCTATGATGAATCAATGGAAATAAATAAAACCACATTCAATTAGAAATACTTCATTTACAAATACTTATTTTTTCTTAGGATTGCATTGCACATTTTACAATCCCTGAGATGAATATAGGATAAAACTTCTTACAAAACGCAACACTTGCCATAGTATAACCAGACACTTTGTGGTAGGAAACTGATAATCTACATTATAAGTCTACATAATCCTGAACCCCATGTTTATACCAGTGAGTGGCAGCATGATTCTGCAGCGGTGACAGAGTTTACAAACATTTCAGTAAACTAAAAAATGTTTGGTTGTAACAAGATAATAAGCAAACAACTGTTCACTGTATGAAGGGTGTTGCAAGGTACTGAATGTCAGTGAAACTAAGTTATTAGCAATACATTTTTACTTAAATACATGCACTTTCCACCTCTGTATATCTACCAGATCCTGCTGAAGTTACATTAGTGTCTTTAGCTCAAAAAATAAAAAAAATACTAATAAAAGTACAATGTTGTGCTGGAATTTTGAAGGGTAATGCTGTAAAGCTGCAATAAAGTTTTTTTTTTTTTTTGCTTTGAAATTGAAGGATTTCTACAGTCACAGTAACTGGGTTGAAATAGGCAACAGATTTCCAAACACCAATTTGATCAGAGGGAAGATCAGCGTTGAAGATATAGCAGGTGAAGATGCAATAATCTTTACAAAGATAAAAGTGAGATTTGCTTGGAAGAGGAACTCAAACAAAAGACAGAGAACTTGCTTTGCATGGATTCCTGTGAGTATACTCAACCCAGATTAATAGTGGAATCTGATGTGACTCTCAGCTAAAACTAGAGCAACCTGCCGCAACTGTAATGGAGATGACTGCAAGGACAACATTCTGGAGGACATCCTTGACAACAACATACTTACTTCAGGATATTTCAGTGTGAATCCCTTTGCCAAGCCTCCAGGTAAAATCATAATTTGTAAGGACTCACTCTTATTAACAGATGCTTTTGTCAGTTATCTGGCTTTATGGTGATGGGAATGCTCTTTTATATATTGCTTCCAAAATTTGAGAAATTCATAAAGGTATTTAAGAGCACTCTCTGGATCCTCTCATAGCACATTTTAAGAGCATTCACAACTTATGAATTTCTTTCTAAACCTTGTTTTGTTGCCATTTTACACAAGACACCAACATAATATAGAACATAAATGTGAGCCAACCTACCTACCTATTCACCCACCCACTCACTTGGCTCTGTGAGTCATAGCAACTATTAGGTAAATTATCTGATAGAAAATACCAAGAGCAACAAACCTCAATAATCATTCCCTTTTGAATGAATGTAAAATCCACTAAATTCATTATCTGTAAGAAAAATACTACAAACTACGTATAAACTCCACAAACCCATTTTTACATATTTTCATGACCTGCAAAGTGGTGTAGTTTGTAGCACTGCTGACTAGCTTCAAAAAAGTAATAGGTTTGATTCTTTCTACATGGAGATTTTTCTCCCCTTGCATGTGTGGGTTCTCTCTGGGTACTCTGGCTTCCTACGACATTTCAATAACATGACTATTAGGTTAATTGGCATCTCTCAATTGTCCTTAGGTGTGAGTGTTCGCATGGTTGCATGTCTCTGTGTTGCCTCACAATGGACTGGTGACCTGTCCAGGGTGTACCGCACCTTTCACCCAAGGACTGTTGGAGATAGGCACTAGTTCCACTGTGACCCTGACAGATAAAGAGGGAGAAGATGTCTGGACATCTCTTCTTCACATTGCTCACAAAATGACTAAGTAGTCTTGGTGGCATGCCTGAAAACCTCCCAATAGACCTGTCTTCAGAACAACGAGGAACAAAGGGTCTTTCAGCAGCAATCGCACCTCCTCCACACCCCAACCAAACAGTTTGGCACCAGTGGGCTTGGTGCTATAGTCAGTGAAGATGCAGTTTCAACCTATTATCCAGTTCAGTCTCCTGAGGCTTATTTCACGCATTGGTACCAAAAATTAACATAAGAAAAGCCATTTTATATTTATCAACAATATACTGCATTAAAGAACAAATAAATAGCAGGGAACATGAGCTTCCAGCTTCCTTAGAAACGTTCTACACACAACTTCTGGAATATTTTTTCTTGGAAATTTTGATTCCATGTGCCACAAGACGCCTCCTTTGGCCTCTTTACTTTTTGGATCGATCCATAAATTTTTATGATAATTCATTTTGTATAAAAATGTTAAAAACTCTCTTATCACTGTGATGACAAACAGGAAAATGCAGCCATGGAAATTTCCCTGATAGTACAGCTCTACTGGAACCCAAAGGAGGAATCAACAAAGATACAAAGGACTCTAGCCATGGACATCTCCACGAGCAGGCAGCCAATATGGCAATAGCAGCAACCAGTGAGCTGCTGGAGGATGTTCGAGGTGCAGCTGGAGACAGACAGTTCCTTGAGTAATGAATTTAATATTTTTTCCCTAAAACTATAAATTTTTCATTCACAGACTTAATTAAAACAACATATTTATGTCCATGCATCTTTCTCATTCCTCAGGATGATGGGACTCTTCAAAGGGAAACCTCTTTGTTTTTGTGTTGACACCACAGGAAGTATGAGCGATGACATAGAAGCAGTGAGGACTGTCACATCAGCTATAATTGACAGCAAATTGGGAACAGAGGATGAGCCCTCAGTTTACATTCTTGTTCCCTTCAATGATCCAGGTAGATGGTTTATGTTAAAGGCCAGGCTTAAGGCTTTGACAGTGTGAAAAATTCTTTATCAAAACTACCCCATCTGCTGTGTAGAAATATATGCCCCATTTACATTACCATTTTGAAACCGTGCCGAGAGCAGTTTAAGCACGGCAACCGAGATATGTGTTGAGTGTAAATGGCGCGCAAACTGAACCGGACTGCGCCGACAAAACCAAACCACGCTAAACTAGTACTGGTTCAACAGCAGGGCTCAGAGCGGTTCCATTGTGGCTAGGTTCTCTGATAACAAAGAGTCCATGAGGAGACTGAGTCATCTCAGACATTAATAAAAATACTAGCTTCCCCACCGTGCCACACGATTTCCAGTGACGATTCTGCTTAGCCATGTGATGAACCTCAACGTCTGTCGTTGTTTCCTGGGTCTGTAAGCCCTGATTAAACAATCGTTTGTTATATCCATATATACACCTTAAACTAGACATTTACAAATACTATAAAGTTTTATCATTTCTTCATCCTCTATATCTGGTCACAAGGTTTTTGCAGATTTCACTCTGAAAAATATCAGTTTCTGGCAGATGGAATCAGTCTCCTTTCTGAATGCTTATCACATGTTTTTCTTAAAATAAATCCACAAATGTTAGTCCATTTAACTTACATGCTGTAAGTAAACATATTGGAAGCCCTAGTACCATTATTTGACTATTTTTGAATTAATCATTAATCAAGGCATTAATCTTCTGAATTCCTGAAATTAACTCAATGAAATCTCTCTCCCACTACCTTCATATTTATAAAGATTATTAATATATTCCTGAATGAAAGATAACAGAAAAGGTTAATCTAATTTCATGCCAGACATTAAAGTGAGATTTCATGTTCTTATAAAGTTTTTGAAAGTATTTGTTTTTTATGCTACATGCAAGGTAAGAAGACAATCTTTGCACAAACACAGTTAAACAAAAAGGAGCATAAAAATTATGTCTCACTTTTCAATCACAGATTTTGGGCCTCTGATTCGGACAACAGACCCAAACATTTTTAAGGGTTACCTCAACTCACTATCAGCAAATGGAGGTGGAGATTTTCCAGAAATGAGTCTTTCTGCTCTTCAGGTGCTTTGATTGATGGTTGCTTTCAAAGCTGATGAAATATAGAAAGCAAATGGTTATTTTTTCTTTATATCCCTCCTTATATCCCAGCTGGCTCTAACTGGTTCACCTCCAAATTCTGAGATCTACGTTTTTACGGATGCTACAGCTAAAGATGAACATCTGAGGAACCCAGTGATTGCCCTAATAGAGCAGACAAAGTCTGTTGTAAGTATTACTGTACTACCTGGGTACATTATTTGCTTACAACCATTTAACGCCCCTAAAAAAATCTCAATAATTAGTGATACAGCTTTTAACACTGGTTCCTTACCTGTAATTGATCAGGTTTGGTTTTTCCTATATATACATATATATATATATATATTGTGTATATATATATATATATATATATATATATATATATATA